GTGCAGGGACCCCGCAGGAGCCGGGGATTCCAGAACCGTGTCCGGCTTGCGGGCAAGTACACGCTTGTCTGAGAAGGAGGCTGGACGGTCCCCCTGCTTCTCTGAGGTGTCCGGAGGGAGGGGGCTGCCGTCGACCCTCACGAGCCACCCACGGAGGATAAACGTGCCATACCTGTCTCCTGTCCTGCCACCCTGTACGTTACTTCAGCGTGCTCCCACTCTCCTCTGAAACCGGGAGACAAACAAGGGCTGACCAACTCCGCTCCATCCTCAGCTGAAACAGAAAGAGACAGAGGCGGATAAAGAGCACTGACCGTGGTGGGGTGAGGGCAGGCCTGGAGCTGAGACGGCACCCGCTGAGGGGAGGCCGGCAGCACTGAGTGTCTCAGGTCAGCCCCGAGGGCCTCGGAGGGTCAAGGGAACACGCTTCCTTTTTGCCGCGGGATGGACTTGCGGAAGCGTCCCGAGTCAGCTTCGGGAGGCAGAAGCCCCAGCAGAGCCACTCCCAGCTCACGGCCACAGAGGGGCTTCGGGGTTCCAGGCGACGCTCATGACGACCCCAGCGGCTCCCCGTGGGGCAGCCTCCAGGGCCCCAGGATGCCAGCCCTTGGGGACACGCCTGCTGGCGTCCTGCTGAGTGGGTCCCTGTCCCCGCCTGATTCTGGCCTGGGCCCGCCTGCACCAGCGGAACGTGCAGGACACAAGGCTGTGGGACTTCAGGAGGCTTTCCTTCCTCTGAGCCGCCAGGGAGAAGTGCAGGCTGCTCTTCGGGGTAGAGGCCAGACACGCGCCCAAAATGCCACCTCACAGGACCCCGGGGACCCCAGCAAAGGGACCGCTGAGTGGATGCCTGTGCAATCCTGAGATATGATGACTGCTGTTTGCAACTACTCAGGGCAGTGGGTGGTCTGCTGAGTGACAACGGCTCACACGGCGGGAGATGCCTCCCTGGGACAGCGAGGAGTCTGCACCCCTTCTGGAGGCTGTCACAGCCCCACATGAAGACACACGGCTCCCCACCGCTCTGCCGGGTCGGGGTGCAGGAGGGACAGGACCCTGAGGCCGGCACAGACGGGCAGGTAGGTGCCTGCCATCCTCCACTGGCTAACAAGTGTTTTCTGGCCCTGAGTGTGGTCGTGGGTGTTTCTGAGACGTGGACGCGTTTTTAGTTTGCAAAAAAGGGGCCACTGTTACGAGGTTAAGCAGCAGGATTCAAAATAAAGGAGCTGAAGCAGGATGTGCGTGGAAAACAATTCCAGTGGAACACTCCCGCTCTGTCAGAACAGCCAGGCCCTGGAATAGGCAGCGGAAGTGCTGGGCCGGGGGTGTGCGTGGCTGAGAACATGCGTGGGCTTGTGCACATCTGACTGAGGCCTTCGGGGGGACAGGCCAAGGCTGCCTCAGAGCAGGGCCCCCGCTCGCCTCGGGCATGTGGTCCCCTGAACATCCCAGGGGCTCGAGTGCCGGCCAGCAACGCCTGGCTTGTCCCAAGCCAAGTACGTCAGGGCAGGATGGTGTGGAGAGGGCCTGGGAACAGACACAGGCTTCGTCCCCAAATGCCACGTCTGGAGGAAGGCAGAGCCCGTTCCAAGTCCCCTTGAGAGCAGAAGAACACAGGAGACATTCTCAGGAGCCAGAACCTCCCCTGAAGGCCCCCTCGGAGCCCCTCCCGTGTGCCCAGTGGTAAATCCTTACAAACAAGCCAACTCCGATCACACCCAGTTCCTTGGGTTCCTAAGAACCCCCTGCAACTCGGTGATTCAGAAATCGCTTCACTAGCATCTTTCTTTAAAAGTAACTGAGGAGGTCTTCAGGGGCCCACCAACAAGGTCTGGGGGGGCGCCTTCTGGGGCTCCCGAGTCCTGCTGGCCGGGAGGGCTCTGAACACTGCACCCCACTCACCAGGCTTTCCCTCCTCGCCGCCTAGAACCGCCAGCCGCGCCGACATCAAGCCGAGCCCCAGGTAGCTGCGGAGAGAGAACCCAGGTGAGCGGAGGCCTCCCTCAACTCCGCCTGCAGCACGTTCACCAGCCTGGATCCAAAATGTGGGGGGAAGGAGGAAACCAGGGGCAAGGCAGCAGCTTCCTGCTTCTTCCAGGAGCTCCCTCAGTGGGGTTCAGGGCATCCAGCTCCTCAGCTCGACAAGCGAAGGCTCTTACCTGGTGGGAGCTCGTCCAGGAGCTGTGGACACTGGCGAGGGCGACACACAGGTCCCCAGCTTTATGGTGTGGACGGGCCTCACGAAAAGAATCTATTAAAGGCGCCACGTGGCAAAAAAGACGGCCCAGAAACTTCCTGCACCATCTATGGACTCTTCCCCACTTTCCCAAAAACCTCTTCCAAGGCAGAAGAGAATAAGCACGAAAGAAGAAATGCAATCTTACTCCAGGTGAATTAAAAAAGGAAGAGGAGGAGGAAGAAAAGGAAGAAAGAAGGAGGGAGGGAGGGAGGGAGAGGCTGCAGGGGGGTCCACAGCAGGGATTTGGGGATCAAGTCTATAGCCCAGCACCTGGTCGCTCCCCAGGCGGGAGGCGGAGGCTGGGGGAGGCCTGCAGTGCTAAGCTGAGCCACATGCCTGGACACTGGACCTCTCCACGCTCAGTCCTGAAAACAAACCTGTAGGAGTAGAGCCTGTAGGTCCTATTAAACATCTGGAGGGACGTGAGGAAGCCGGGCGGGGCGGTCTGAAGGGTGCCCTGGGGAAGAACACAAGGGTTAAAGCACCTTTCCTGCTGGCCTTTATAAAAAATTGTCCCGCACTCCCTCAATTCATTTGAAAGAACAGGGCTATTCACAGATGTATTCAATTAAATTAAACTTTCATCAAATCACATGCTGTGAAACAGCTTGGAGCAAGCAGTGAAACACTTTGTCTTTCCTCTTTTTTGGCTGTGCCAAGAGGCCTGTGGGATCCTAGCTCCCCGACCAGGGGCTGAACCTACACCCCTTCCAGTAGAAGCGTGGAGTCTTAACCACTGGACTGCCAGGGAAGTCCCGTGTCTTTCCTCCCTGTGAGTAACATTTACCCATTCTGGGAAATACGGCCCAACCAGAAGACTTATGCATAAATATAAGGCTATTCCATTAATGTTAAGTTTTATATTTATTTATTTATTTATTTATTTATTTATTTGGCCATGCCACGCGGCATGCGGGATCTTAATTCCCCAACCAGGCATCGAATCCATGCCCCTTGCACTGGAAGCTCAGAGTTTTAACCACTGGACCGCCAGGGGAGTCCCAAAGCTCTTCCATTAAAACTAAAAATAATAGTAATAATTTAAAAAGTGGCAGATGAGGAAGGTACTTTTTAAAAGCAGCACGCAGTCTCAACTGGAAATGTTTTTGTGTCACTTAGAACAGCGGTCCCCAGCCTTGTTGGCACCAGGGACTTGTTTCATGGAAGACAAGTTTCCCATGGACAGGGGAATGGTTCAGGCGGTAATGTGAGCGATGGGGGGCGGCAAATGAAGCTTCACTTGCTGCCCGCCGCTCACCTCCTGCTGTGCAGCCCGGTCCTACCAGTCCGCAGCCTGGGGGTTGGGGACCCCTGCCTTAGAACATCCGTCCTGAAAAGGCCTGAGGCTCTGTCCCATCAGAGTCAGACTCCGGCCCCTCCCTGGAAGCCCTTGCGGGGGGCGGGGAAGAACCCACCCCACACCCTCTGCCCCAAGGTCTCCAGGTAGTATCTAGTTTATCACCCCGCTGAAGACCAGATTTCTATTTTCTTTTTTCCAGGCAGAGTTAAAATCAAACTAAGAAGCATTCACTGCGGGTGATCTGACCCTTAGGAGAGAAGCTGAGTGCACAGACCTTCCCCCGGGGCTGAGGCTCCCCCATGGGGCAGGTGGCCTTGGGGGCAGCAGCGGGTTACCTTGAATCTCGGGAGGAAGGTGATCTGGGTGGACCCTCCGCCCAGGTCCAGCATGCCCACGTTGCTCCTCCCGGGGGTCTTCAGACTGCCTGCAGCACCGGGAGTAAAAGCCACACAGCAATGCCCGTTAGTAAACAGACAGAACAGCAGAAAAGGGGAGGTTAGAAGCCAGGCCCTTCCGTGGAAAGAGAACAAGACAGACAGAAGCTGTGGCCACTTGAAAATGTCCATGTGTATTTGGGGGCCGTGAAGGACAGCCGCCCCGGTGGTGGCTTTCATCTGAACGAAGGACAACCTGTGCTCCTGGGGCCTGGGCTCCTGATCTGTCACCTGACATGGCTCCCGATCCCCGGGGCGGCAACTCCTACAGGAAACTTCCTTCTTTCTCATCCATGTGTCAGACACACTGGTCTTGTCCATAGTTACAAGAAAGGGACAAAAATCCACATCCTGAGAGTAATCTAAGAAAAATGACTCCTCGCCACCTGTTCCCTGTTCTACCTACGGCAGGACTTCAATTATAAGGTTAACAGCATTCGCATCGCGTCCAGTATTGACTAGTGTGACTCAGGGCTTCTCTCAGGAATGAGGACGGTGGCCAGGGGACGCCGCCTGGGAGCAGAGGCAGAGCTGAGCCTTTGGAGAAGGACCCCCTGCATCTCCAGCATTTGCATCTGCAAGCTCGGTGCCCGCCCCACCCATCCCAACACCCTACTTCGGGTCAGCAACCCGAAGGGGTTATTTTAGGGTGGAAATGAGGCCCCTGCTCTAAAGACCTGCGTCTGTGAACTGCTGGCTTTATGATGAAGGGAACCCACCTGTTAGGAAGTTCACGGTGATCCACGCGGAAACACCTGCAAGAGAGGGTCACAAACAGCATCTGAATCACCTGAGATGCTGTAAACAGCAATGGGGACTCATGACAGCTTTCCGATTTCAGGAGCACAGGGAGACCACTTCCTCACTACTCTCAGCCTCCAGATCAGCTACAGAAACGGGCAGCACTCATAGAACCATCCAGCTGCTGCTGGCAGACTGCTCTAGAAGACACCAGGCTAAAAAGCAGCATGCTCAGCCAAATTGTCACATCTCTTGGTCACACTCCTTATCAACTGTCTCTTTCTGGAAGAGGTGGAATGAGAAACAAATGTTCCCTTTCCCTCCACCCAAACAAACTCTTAAGGTCACGTTTAAAGTCAGGAGCTAGTAAGGAACCTTATGAAGTGACTCTCCTTAGAATTAATGCAACAGCAACATTCTAACGCATCAGCAACTGGGGATTCTCTGTAAATGTTCTTAAAACAGAAAAGATGGGATTTCCCTGGTGGCGCAGTGGTTAAGAATCCGCCTGCCAATGCAGGGGACACAGGTTCGAGCCCTGGTCCGGGAAGATCCCACATGCCGTGGAGCAACTAAGCCCGTGTGCCACAACTACTGAGCCTGCACTATAGAGCCCGTGAGCCACAACTACTGAGCCTGCACTATAGAGCCCGTGCGCCACAACTACTGAGCCTGCACTATAGAGCCCGTGTGCCAAAACTACTGAGCCTGTGCTCTAGAACCCGTGAGCCACTACTACTGAGCCTGCACACCACAACTACTGAAGCCTGTGCGCCTAGAGCCCATGCTCTAGCCTCATGGCACATGGCACTTCTGGCGACTACCTTCATCTGTCCCGTTCATGATGGAAACACAGTCGTCCCCTACGAGGAACGGCGACGCCTCAAACACTTCTTTCACCTAAATGTAAAGAGACACAAGCCTTTATCGTTTAGAATCTAAACTCACAGTCCCAATCACTGCCCTGCTTTAGGACAGGACACGAGGGGTGGGAAGCCCCACTAGGCGGATCCCAGCCCTGGGCCGCCACGTGGCCTGGTGGGCACGTTCCTGGGAGAGGACCTGGCACAGGGGAAGTGAAAGCAGTGAGCAACTGTGTTTGGCTTTATTTCCTTCTCCATTTTTTTTTTTTTTTAGCAATTATTGATACATAGAAACTTCAGTACGTCTGCACTTGTGTCCCACAATCCAACTTGAGCATGTGAAGGTATTCAGTAGTTTTTATAAGGGGCCTTGACAAACCTGCAACAATCTGTCATAATTTAGCAGCTAACAGGTTCAGAAACAGTGCGGAGGAGGACTACTTTGCTGAGAACACTTTCCCTGACTCGTGATGGTAAGAACCCTGCAAGCACATGTCAAAGACAGGCTCCAGAGCCGCCTGCAGGGAGGTGCAGGGCTTGCGCAGACACAAAGGGGCCTCCTCAGCAGTCACATCTGAACATCAGACCAAGAGCAGAACCTGCACTTCCCACGAGGACGGCTGGCTTGAGCCGAAATGTCAAGAATTCAGGTCCCACGGCCTTAGACACTCGGCAAGTTCTGGGATGGAAGGAAGCCCTTCAAAAGCACAAAATATATTTTTAATACGAACTTGTTCCTTTTATAAAACAGATTCATTCTAGAAAACATGAATAGCTTTAAACATCCTGAGAAAGAAAGCATCATTCATCCACAACCCCTCCACCGAAGGCGACACCGCTAACATTTCGACAAGCTGCCCTCCTTGGGGAGCTTCTCCGTGGCCTGTCTGCCTGCTTGGACGCGGGCTGATGTTCCATGTTTTCAATTATCACAAGTCACCCGCCCTGGGGTAACTGGATGAGCTCACCTTTCGCAGTAACTTCTGAGCCTTTTCTCCTGGTAACAGACGTAAACCAGCTGTGGCCTTGAGGACCAAGGGGGTGGCCTTCCAGAATTCAAAGGGTATGTCCTGTTTAGCAATGTCCAGTAACTCCTGAATTCCCGGGGTGCTCTGTGAACATGGTGGGTAGAGCAGGGTTTGCGCTCAGCGTGCAGGGTCACAGGTGCTCCCCACCCGTTCAGTTTTATTAATTTATAAATATATTTTTTCTAATTTTCCAAATCAGTAGAAACAGTGACTCAAGTGGTGCAGGCAGGAGCATGGGGCAGACCCTCGGCAGCGGAGCGGGCCAGGGTTCTACGCGCCTGGCAGCCGGAACCCCGCCAGCCCTGCCACCAGCCCCAGGCAGCCTCAGACGAGCTGCAACGGCCCTGGACACCATGAGTGAATTCTGGGGTCCCTCACGGCACTAAAACCCGTGAAGAGCTACACCGAGGAATCATTTCACCTGCCGGAATGCTGAGCTCTCCATGCTGGACCAGGGCCCGTGGAGGGCAGGCTGGGCAGGGCGGGGGACGACTGCCGTGAAGCCTCACCAGGCGTGTAGAGGGTACGATGCTGGGGGGCGTTTAGCAATGCCTGTGGGGGACACGTGTGCCTCTCACTCAGAAACCCCCAAGAGTTCACCCAGGCGACGCTCTGGCATGTGAGGGGAACGAAGTGCACATGAGATGACACAGAGCAGCCTTTCCCAAACCGTGAGGAACGAAGGGTGGGGGGTCACCTACAGGCCCTCCAGAGGGGCTGGCTCTCCGGGTGCAACGTGCACACGCGCGGCAGGACAGAGCTCCCTACTTTCTGACGGGGCACAGTGTCCAAGGCACACTTTTCAGCCCCGGGAGCAAAGCGCACACAGTGTGAACGTGCTCCACTGTGTGTGTAAATAGAGGGGACGAGAACACAGGACAGTGAGAAACCAGGGACACTGTCCTCCTGGAGGAAGTGGGAGGGGTTCGCTGACCGCTGGGAAGGTGTACAAGTCACCCCACGTGAATATGTGCTGCCTGCTTGAACGAGTAAGATTTAAAAAGCCCCATGAGGGGCTTCCCTGGGGGTGCAGTGGTTGGGAACCCGCCTGCCAAGGCAGGGGCCACGGGTTCAAGCCCTGATCCGGGAGGATCCCACATGCCACGGAGCCACAACTACTGAGTCTGTGTTCTAGAGCCCGCGCGCCACAACTACTGAGCCCACGCGTCACAACTACTGAAGCCCGTGTGTCTAGAGCCCGTGCGTGCTCTGCAACGAGAAGCCACCGCAACAAAGAGTAGCCCCCTCTCTCTGCAGCTAGAGAAAGCGTACGTGCAGCAATGAAGACCCAATGCAGCCAAAAGTAAATAAATAAATACATTTATAAAAATAAATTAAAAGCCCCATGAGTTTATTCCAAGATATATCATTTAATCAGGTTTAACCTCTAGAGTCGCTCATTTTGATTTGTTTTCAATTTGTTTCTTAACCAAGCTACAGGAAAGCAAGGCCGTGACCTCACTGTCTGCGATCAGGATGCATCTGTGGCAAGAATGCTGCGTCAGCTTCTGATTTAAGACGCGCTGGGGCCAAAGGAACCGACAGCTGCATGAGGGGCTGCTTTCGGGAGCCCCCTGGAACGCAGGTGCCCTGTGTTCGTGCAGCTCAGAAGTGTAAACGCCACCGACTTACCAAAGTCACCATTTGACAGTTCAGCTAAATTTCTTTTACACTTATTTGGTTCTGTGGATTTTGCATAATACATTTTTTTGACTTTAATTTTTTTAGTGAACATTTGTCATCTTCAATCAGAGAAACCGAAACAAAAAAAAGTTAAACTTTCAAATAATGCTTTTTCTAAGTTTGAAGCGTTTGTGCTTTTAAATCACATCGTAACTTCTGGGCGGCATGTGGGCCAGCTGGGGGATATATGTGGTGTGTGTGTGTGGTGTATATGTATGTGTGTGCTGTGCATGTGTGGTGTGGTGTGTATGTGGCGTGGCTGTGTATATACGTGTGGCTGTGTGTGTGTATATGTGTGTGATGTATGTGGTGTATGTGTGTGTGCTCTGTATGTGGTGTGGTGTGTGTGGCTGTGTATGTGGTGTGGTTGTGCGTGTGGTGTGTATGTGTATACATGTGCAGTGTGTGTGGTGTGGTGTGTAGTGTATGTGGGGTGGTGGTGGGACCTCCCGCGGGTGCCAGTGTCCTCCACAGACTGTCCTACGCAGTGAAATGTCCCAGGTCAGCACAGCAGAGACGCTGCTCTGGGAGGACGGCTCTGCATCTGAGAGAAAGAGAGTCACTTTAACAAATCGACAGAAGGCAAATTTGATGAGCAAAGAGAGATGAGAGAACACTGTTACCTTATCAACGTCATCAGCGTAAGCAGAAAGACCTGGCTTCAGTGCTTTGAAGGTTTCATGGGTCAAGGTGGGAGTTTCTAAAGGAAAATCATGTTTTAGAACAGGTACAAGTGTGAATACAAACACAAATACATGAACCTATACAACTATGAGGAGCCACACTTTCAAGGCAGACTTCTGAAAACAGACCTTCATTGTTTCTCATCTAAACTCTGCCTCTTTAGTTTGGCTACACAACCAATATTATACTTAATGTTTTGGCCAGAACTTTTCCTATTAAAAAAAAAATCAACTTTATTGAGGTATAATTTAAATACCCAAAACTACCCATTTAAAATGTTAAATTTTAACATAGTTAATTCTTGCTGATTCAACAAACAGAGAAATAGGGAATTCCCTGGTGGTCCCACGGTTAGGACTCTGTTCTTCCACTGAAGGGGGCATGGTTTGATTCCTGGTTGGGAATTAAGATCCTGCACACCAGCAGCGTGGCCAAAGAAACAAACAAACAAAAAAACAAACAGAAAAAATCCCGACAGAGGAGCAGGGCAAATGATTCCAAACTGCAAACTGCAAATGTGAAAATCATTTTCTTAATTCTAGATAGGACGCATTATACATTCTAATACATTCTATTCTATACATTCTATTCTTTTTTTAAAAAGGAATATTTCAGCCTTCGTTTTAAAAATTGAGTGTTTTAGATTATTAGGGGTCTGGACTCATGTGCTAACAGCAAGGGAGAGTATTCCCAGGCACACCGAGGCCAAGGGGTGCTGTCCGAATGCAGGCACATAGACCAAGGAGGAAAAAACAGTAATAAACTTTCTGTAAGGAGGTCTCTCCAAAGAAAACACGCCGGTTCATGGCTACTGAAGGACTACATGCCAACACAACGTTGCCTTAAACTTAGCTTCAAAACCAATTTTGGAGGTAGGTTAAGTCCAGCATATATTTAACTATTATAACAAGTTTAAAAATAAAGCAGATGAAAAGTAGATAAACGTGCCATGAGAGGTTTGAAGAGACCTACTAAAGGCATCCGGGACACCAGTTCAGTTAAACGCCCAGAAGGGTCAGCGCCGAAGCAGAGGGCAGGGACCCCAGCTGTGAACACCGACCCACAAGGGGTAGAGGGGGGACTGGGCAGCGCTGGGGGTCTCCCCACGGGAGAAGCCCGCTGGTGAAGATGCCCAAACTCCACCCTCACTCCTCCCCAGCACCCCCCGGGAAGCCAGGCCCGCAGGCTCTGGTCCCAGCTTTGCTCTCACTGAGGCCACAGCCACCTGTCACCCTTGTTGCCTTGCCGCACTGGGCGGCTCCATGCTGGCCTGGGCTCCGGGTCTTTGCTCACGTGCCTGACGCTCCTGGACTCCCGGTTCCCACTGGTCTGAACCTGGGGCGACTTCCTTCCTTAAACTCACCCCACGCGGCCTCTGGCCTAAGTCATGATCCTGGACACCCAACCGGCCCGGGATGCGGGGAGGGGACAGGCCGCCCCAACGCCCTCTGGGATCTCAGCTGCCCTTAGGTGGTCACCAGATGCCAGTGCGAATGAGGACATCTGGGACTCCTGGACAATGGCACTGTCGACAGGCTCCCCGGGGAGTCCCAGGCCGGGGGTCCAGCCCACCCTGAGGGCCCATGCTTTGCTATGAGACGGAGGACAGGGGAGCGCGGCCGGGGCTTACTAGCCGGTACCTCCAGGCTGCCGGGTGAACTGGAAGACGTGCACTCGGGTGCCAGTGCTCCCCGCGTCGAACATGATGCCATAGAAGACCTCAGGCCCGCGGGCAGCTGTCCCCGGGGGACTGCGGAACTGCTGGCCCCTCCGGGCCCCCGTGGCCACCTCGGGGATGCCGAGGAAGGCCTGGGTGGCGGAGGCCCAGTGCCACTTCATGTAGGCGACGTAGATGAACAGGCACACGAACAGCCCCAGCGGGTACGCCACCTTCGTCATCCTCAGGTTCCCACTGTTTGGTATTTTTCTCATTTCCTTGTCTGCTGAGGACTGTGCCACAGCGGCTGGTGGAATGGGAGGAGAGGCAGGAAAAGCCCGTGAGGCTGCGAGGCTCTAGGGCAAGTCAGAAATCCCTGCGCTCAGGGACAAAAGCCCTTCAACCACAACTTTGTCCACAGGTCTGCATTTTTCCTGTGGACTCAGAAGTTTCATTTGATCCTCAGAATGATTCTGGAAGGTGGAATCCCCATTTTGCAGAAGAGGAACTGAGGTTCGTAGAGACTAGACAACCCGTCCAAGGCTGTCGGTCCTGCAGGTGCTGACCTGGGCCACAGCCCCACAGCCCGAGCATCCCCTCTAGGTGCTAGGCCAGGCAAACGGCTCTAAACTCGCTGCTATTTTAAAAGCCACGTGGGCGTGGTGTCCCCAGACCTTTCAAGGTAACAGAGATGTATATGCAGTCCATTGTCTCCACGCTCCCTTTTTCTCCCAAGTTGGTAACTTATTTTTAAAGGTTTAAGATCCTGTCCCTTGGGGACTGCAGAGCCACAGACAGATCAGAGAAACGGCTCATTCTCCTGGGAGTTTCACAACAGATACCTCTTGTCATTCATATACATGTTCCTGC